TTTTTTTTTTTTTGATGTCATATTTCCAAAAGAACCCAAATACGTGATTGTTTTTTGTGAGAAACATTCATGTGTTTCTATGATTCCATCGTAGAAAATCCAGAGATACGGGAGTCACTGGATGATCTGCAGGATCTTCATGAGTGGATGGAAACTTTTATTCATGACTCTTCCTCAACTCTCCATTTTGTGCATAATAAGGGATAATTAAAATTCTAACAGTGTAATTTTCTTTTTTCTCTGACAGGCATCACGTCTCATCTCTGGGTTCCAGACTGAGTTCTGACTCTCCGGTCTTTCTCCCATGAAGCTCAGAGGACGGTCCTGGCAGTTCTGGTTCTGGCGGCTTTGACCAGAGTGTCTGGAAGTCGGCGTCGCTTCATCCCAGCGAACATCTGGCAGGATGCTGATCCAGCTAACGTGGCTGCACGGCTTCGTGGGAACGTGAGCCAGCGCTGCACTTCCTGTATACTCGGCCGCTGTGTGCAGCAGAGAAGGTAACAAACAAACAAACACCTGTTTATTTATGCTGGAGGAGTCTTCCCATGGCCGGGCCTCAGCGTGGCCGGCAGCAGTCTGAGCAGGACTTAAGTCAGCGTGGAGGAAATGTGTCACTGTGTGCTGTGTGGTTCAGTTATTGTGCAGAATATTTGCAATCGGCTGCATTATCGGTCAAATCTGTTTGTGTTTCAGAGCTGACCAAACAGAAGGGTTTGATTTGAACAGGGACATGGGTCTTTCTGAAGTGCTGAGCCACTGTGACTCAGGTTAATCAGTTTGTGTGTGGCCAGGCTGTGGTAAACCTGAGCCGACGCTTCTTTCTCCGAAACTCAGAGGGAAACATTTTCCCTCTTTCTGATCATCTGTTAGAAATTTCCTCTATTTCGTTCATTTTCTGTCTCCTGGGACACAAACTTCTCTTACCCACAAATTTAATTAACGTCTGACCAGAACCAACAAACACAAGCACATGATTCCTGTTTTGTCCTCCTTAGACTGGTTCCCAGTATGTTTCATGTGTTTAAACCGGTTCCCAGTATGTTTCAGCCTCTTTAAAGTGATTCCCAGTATGTTTCAGCCTCTTTAAAGTGGTTCCCAGTATGTTTCAGNGTGAAGGAAGCAGATTTTATAAAATCAGGACGAATTCAAGCCTCTGACGCGTCCTCCTCCAGCAGACGGGGTTCAGGAGACGGGGTTTCCTCCGTGGAGCCGTAGGACTGCTGAGATTTGGACTTCTGAAGGCCGCTGGCAGGAGATTTAGGGTTCAGCACTCTGGGAAGGTAAACCTGGAAACAGACGGGAAAGAAACGTTAAGAAAAGACGAAGCTCCTTGTCCGATGTTACAGAATAAAACATTACAACCAAGTCAGCAACGTCTTAACATCCCTTTTATCTGGACCTCCATATTGACAATCCGACAGCCTTGCTGTCCGACGTAAAAGGTTTTACGTTTAGTGTCTAGTTATCGAGACACTGCCTGCAGTTTCCTCCCTTGCGTCCTCTCTGCTCTGTGTAGAAACACTGCCTGCAGTTCAGCCGAAAACGAATTTTTGCCACCTGACTGTTGGTCACAGCCGAGTCGCTCACGGCTTCACGTTGGCAGCAAAAAGGTGAGAATTTTTAGTTTTTTACGGAATCTGATTCCCACAAACTATTTGTTCTTGGCAAAAATTTTTAAAGATTACATTTACATTTGATTGAAATATTATAATTTCAAGCTTAGATTTGGATAATTTTCCCAACAAACCTGTTTGTCTCACACGATTAATGCTGATAATCCAACCATTTTACAGCTTCTAGCTTGAATTTTATTTATTTACTTACTTTTAAAGATAACTTAACGGCAGATTATCTATTTTTGTGTATTTTTTGTCCTCCCTGATGTGTTTAATGCAACACTGCTTGTGTTGAAGCTTAAAGAAAAAACAAATCGCAACAACAACCATCGCATATACGTTTGACCTACAAAAAAGCCGCTTATCTTCTGTTTTATTTACTTCCCTTGTTTGTCGTGTTATTTTACTGTATTTGCATTTTTCTGTGGCAGCTGAAGACAAAGTGTTTAATCATTATGTTATCCATTACTTCGTTAATATCTAACGTAAGAAAAACGCCAAACAAACATCCCGGGAGGTCAGCGCGAGGTCAGCTTGTCCTGAATCCGTCTGATCTTTGTTTACAGAGCGGGTACAGTACCGTGGCGTTTTCTTCCACTCCTTCTTCTCCTTTATCGTCGTCCTCGTCTTTGACCTGAACACAAACAGAACGAGATCAGAGGGACGAAGGACGGCACAGGACCGCGTCACGAGCACCAGGACGGAGAACTCACGGCGTAGTTGTGAGGACTCAGGTACTTGAAGTGTCCGAAGCAGGTGTAGCCGACGCAGAAGAACACGGTGACGCACAGGACCACCAGCGTGAACAGAGACGTGGACCTCATGAAGCCTGCAGTGAAGTTCAGAGATTTTTTTAGGCGAATAACGTTCAAAGCCTTAGAAGCCGTTTAAGCTTTGAATGAAGTTTCTGCTGTAAAATCTGGCGGAGCTACAGGGTTCCAAAGACGGCTGGTGTCAGCAGTGGTGGAGATCTTTAGCCCAGCTCTTTTTTTCTTTTAAACAAATTTCTTAAAAACCGTTCGACCAATCGCTACCAACAGCCTGATTTAAGCTGCACGTTCTGATATAACAAATTTCTTAGACCACCTGTTTAACTTGTTGTATAAACACAAGTACAACCAGAAGTTTACATACGCTGTAAAAAAAAAAAAATCTGACTTTAATCAGACTAAACTTTTCCTGTTTCAGCTCAGTCAGGATCACAAACATTATTTCTATTTGCTAAACGCCAGAATAATGAGAGAGAATGTTTTATGACTTTCTTCAGAGTCAGAAGTTTCCATCCATCTCCTCAGCATCTGCCAGCGTTGCCTTTAAACTCTATGACTTTGGTCAAACGTTCTGGGTTTCCTTCCACAAGCTTCTCACAACAGTCTGATGGGTTCTGGCCCATTCCTCCTGACAGAACTGAGTCAGGTTTGCTGGTCTCCTTGCTCCGCTGATGTTCTCCAGGATGGAGATCAGGGCTTTGTGATGGCCACTCCACAACACTGACTCTGTTGTCCTGAAGCCTGGCGGTACATCAGGTTCCCAGAGATGAAGTGTTTTGGTGTGAAGTGTGCGCATCAACCCCAGAACAAAACAATTCTCTCTCTCATTATTCTGGCATTTAGCAAATAGAAATAATGTTGGTGATCATAGATGAGTAGTAGCTCACAGACTCAGGAGATATTCACTAAATCTGACAAAAACTGACTCCGTCTTTAAGCTGAGTAGTTCATCAGAACTGTGCAATTAACAAACCACAAAAGCTCCAACGTAGGAAACAGGTTCTGCAGCACGACTGAGTTTAAACTGTCAGTATCAGAAAAGCTTCGGTCATCTTCCACATGCTGATCAGCCACAGTGGTTAATCATTAATCATCCTCACCTGCTCTGAGCACAGAGAAGAAGTACAACCATATGAGGCAGATGATGGGAGCAGCCAGAGCCTGGTTGACGGCTCCCAGGTGGACCTGGTGGTCCAGGCGAGCCGGCAGGTAGGCGAAGTACAGGTTGTGTCGGTCCACCAGGTGCTTCAGCACCATGTACAGCAGCCCTGGAGGAGGAAGAGGAGGAGNTCATTTCACGTTTCAGCCAAATAACAACAAAAAAAGCCATAAACAAATGTAGAAATAAACTAAAATAGAATTGTTCTGCTTGTTCCAGGTGGAATCTGCTTGTTCACCGAGTTTTAATTTAACACGTCTGACTCTTATTTATTACACGTGATGGAATTTAGTTTGTGCTGCAACTTTAAAAACAAACATCCGCAGAACACGCGACGTTCACTTTGAACCGGTTCCTTCTGCTCCAACTCCAAACTATAAATATATAAAATGCATCCGTGACATCTTACTCTGATAAGTTCAACACTCTCTGGGATAAAGTTAATTAAAATCATCCACTGACCCACTTTCACCATTTAGAAAAACAAAAGTTTACGTCTGTTTGAACAACATCGAAGATAAAAACCTGGATTTTCTCTGTTCTTCTTCCTCATCTTGACGTTCATTCAGAATTCGAACATCAGGATTTAAACATCAGAACAACTTTGTGCTGATTAGCAGCAACTTTTCTCTAAACGGACCCAAATATGAGCAGCAGGAGAGTCCAGGTTCTGGTTTTCCTTTAATTTGTCACCTGAGTAATTTATTAAAACACAGAATTCCTGCTGAAGCATCGAAACTTTGAACCTCGTCTGAGCTCCGAACGGTTCCCTGGATTCTGCAGACGCTCCGGGTTCTGGGTCGGTTCTGAATGTAAGAAACAACAAAGAACCTGCAGTCACGTGTTGTGTATTGTTGTGTATTGTTGTGTCATGTTGTGGTGTGTTGTGATGTGTTCCGTGTACAGACTCCAGCTGCTGGAGCTTCTCCTTCCTGAATCCACTGAGGAAACAAACAGATCAGAGGTTCTACAGAGTTCTGCTCCACAGGAACATTTAGAGTCAGTGGTGAGGAACCGCACAACATCTACACACACACAGACACACAGACACACAGACACACACACACACACACACACACACACACACAAAGACACAGCATGCAGACAGACACAAAGACCGAACACACACATACACAGAAACACAAACATATAGAGACACACACAAACACACACATAGACACACAAACACACAAACACACATACAAAGACACAAAGAAGACACACACACATAAAGATACACAAACACAGATGCACATTTATACACTCAGACACACCCACAGACAAACATACATACATACATATACACAAACAAAGACACACCAACATATATACACACAAACGCACACAGATGGACACTCAGACAGACACACACAGAAACATACATAAAGACACATGAACAAAGACGCACACACACACACACACACACACACACACAGACAGACACACACAGATGGTAACATCAACAGTAATGGACGTGATCGGTTTCTCTTGTTGCTTCCAGATGTTCAGAACGTTTCCTCTCAGTTTATTCAACATCTGCAGCAGGATCAATAAGAGTTCCTTATTATCGATCGTTAATTATCCCTGAGAGATCAAAGACACCGACCGGATCGGTCCGGGTCAGAATCTAGCATCAGAACCTCAGACTGGTTCTGTTGCTTCCAGATGTTCAGAATGTTTGTTCTGAATACAGACAATCAGCAGCAGCTTCATCAGTCACCTGTAATTATAGAACGGATCAGGACCAGCAGCAGGTCAAACCGAGCAGAACTTCATGGGTCCACCTCAGACAGGTGAGCTCCAGCTGACAGGTAACAGGTAACAGGTGAGCTCCACCTGACAGCTGACAGGTAACAGGTGAGCTCCAGCTGACAGGTGATCACAGGTGATCGGGTAAAAGTTTCGTTCTGACCTTTCAGATAAACTCTGCTTCAGGTGTTTGGACACTTTGATCAGCTGCTGGCTCACATCTAGGCTGCTGTTGTGTTGTTGTGTTCCACACGTCACCAGTGTGTTGTGTAACGTTGTGTGACGTTGTGTGAATGTCTGATGTTGTGTGTCTGCCGTGACTTTGTGTTGTTTGTCTGAATGAGGAACGTTGATGGAAAAGACTGAATGAAGCTGAATGACGTCATCGAACAGACTGATGGAGCAGCCAGGTTACACAACTCACACACACACACACACACACACACAGAGTCAAATAAAGTCAGACACACACACACTTACAACCACTCACAGACACACACATTACTCTACACACAAACGCACACAGTTACAATCAGTTACACACAGAGTTGCACACACACTCACACAAAGTCGTACTTATATAGTCATGGACACACACAGTAACACAATTACAGCTACACACAGACCCACACGGTTGTAAATCACAAAAAGTCTCACAGACACACACAGTCTCACACGTACACAAATACACAGACAGTTACACACACAGACACACAAAGTTAGTCTCACAAAAGTTCCAAGCAAACCCACATAGTCACACAAATTCACACACCAAGACACACACACACACTTACACACACACTCTGTTACTCACACAGACCCACACAGTTGCAAACAAACCCACAGAGTCACACAAGTCACAAAAAGTCCCACACACAGTTACACAAAGCCATACAGACACACACAGTCTCACACATACACAAATACACATTTACACACCCCCAGACACAAACACACACACACACCCACAGTTAGATGCACATTTACACACAGACAGTTACACACACAGACACACACAAAGTCACACATATACAGTCACAGTCTCGCACACACACACAGTTGCAAACAAACCCACAGAGTCACACAAGTCACAAAAAGTCTCACACACAGTTACACACTCACACACACGGCTACACACCCCCAGACCCACACAGTGTCACACAGTGTGTTGCCGTGGAGGAGGAAGTGTAACTTGGCCTGCGCTCTGTGTTTTTGTGTTTCTGTGTTTGTGTGTTTCTGTGTTTGTGTGTCCGTCCCGCTGCTCTGGGAAACTCACCTCCCAGGCGACCGCCGTTGCCATGGCGCTAATCCTGACGGACAAAGGGCCGGAGCGCCGCGGAGCACGATGCTGCCGGACGCTCCCATTGGCCGCCGCCGGCCCACGCGATGCCGTGATTGGCCGGCGCCGTGTTTATATACAAATTGCAGCAGTCAGAGGTCACATCCATCGATCTTTGGTGGTGACATGAAGGAAATCTGACCCCAGAACCTCGACACCCTGAGCCGCTTTAATTCTCATTTGATACGTGCACGCTCACGGGCGCGCACGCACACACACACTCACACACTCCTGGCCTGGGAGTGCAGAATTAAGTGAATACTGAGAGTGAGCGAGGGAGTGAAGTGACCAAATAATAGCGTCTGTGGGACACAAAGGCGCAGACGACAACAATACCAAGAATGCTCGGAGGGCAGCGGGTTCAGCGGCTGCACACCTACACAAAAACACACTCGCACAGGTCTGTGGATTAACGCCGGTCAATATCTGGGCGCGCAAAAAGGCCGCATTGTGCACCAACAACACCTCACCGCTGTTTCAGTTCACCTGCGGCGCCGACAAACCCATAATTAGTGTAATCAGTGGGTTTTATCTGTGTTAACTGAGTAGCAACGCTTTTGTCTTTTCTCATTTTACACGAGAAATATCCAAATTAATTAGCAAAACTAGGTGTTCTGCAGCAGTAGCAGGAAATTCTAGTTCAACAAAGCGATATTTTGGCCTCTGAGAACTACGAAAACTCCTGTTTTCATGTCAAGTTTTTTTCCCCACGTCTGTCTCATTTTTTACTCCAATCTAAAATCCTGCAGCTCTACAGAAACAGAACAACCGAGACCATCAGGAGAAGGAACTCAGAAATGTCTTTTTATGCAGTTTATCAAAGTTAAAAACAAGTTTAGTAAAGTTAGTTTTTAAAACCTGCAATCAGCATTTAAAAATACCGACACTTTAAAAACGGCGGCTCTACACACTACAGATATGAATGACTTACACAACCTGCAGTTCAATCTAGTTTTCGCTGAAATTTGCAGAATTTTTTACACGTGACTGTTGGTCACAGCTGAGTCAGACATGGTTTCCTGGTTGCACTGAAGACGACAGAATTTTTAGTTTTTTACAGAATCCAATTAGTGAAAACGGTATATTTTTTGACATTTTTAGACTGACTGATGAAATGTTACGATTTTAACCTTTGATTTGGTTGGTGTTTTCCAGTGATGCACGATATTAGAATTTCTGGCTGATACCGATATTTGGTGTTAAGATTGCTGATATCGCCGATAACTGATATGACCGATGTCGATATTCAATTTTTGTTCAAACCGAAAAATGAGTATAAGTGTGAGAACGTGTGAGAAGAAGAAGCCCAAATGAGACCACATAGTCTTTATTACGCAACAAAACATGTTTAAACATATTTGAGTCCACGACCATTTAAGTGAAAACATCTGTGAAATAGCAGCGATATCAAACGTAGAGAC